TAGGTTGTACAAAAATAGCCTATTAGCTATTTTTATTCGTCTTGTCAAAATACTAAATTCGTTTGACATTTTTCTGTTAACACAGTAGGAAAAGTGTCGCAGAGAAAAATAAATAAATACGACATCTGTCATTTAAAATTATAGGCTAAGCAAAATATAAACAAAACCGAGTTGAACGCATTGCTTTGCTCCATCCTTATTCTGCTGTCACTCATCGACAACCTGCCTGTTCTGTCTGAGGGCCGTATATTTACCACAGGTACAGCCTGCTCTGAGCATCGTTATGCACATGCTGCGCACAGACCACACAAATAAAAGGCGTGTTACCGTCCGCTACCGCGTTTTATTCGGGAATTTTATCCCGCGGCGCAAAAAATCTGGTCGGGAGAGCCGCGGGAATGCAGAGCTCTAACTCCTATCTCTCACCCTCCAACAGCGCCTCCTGCTGGCAGAGAATGCATTTGCATATATGCCACCACAAATAGAGTGCAAGTCTGTGGGAAACACCGCTGGAGTAGTAGACATGACGTGAGCAGGCTTGGCAGGCATGACGTTAGCAGGCCCTGGAGTAGCAGACATGACGTGAGCTGGCTGTGGCTTGTCAGACATAATGTGAGCAGGCTTTGACTTGACAGGCGTGGCGTGAGCAGGTTCTGGCTTGCTAAGTGCTGCGGGACTGTGGGTAGCCTCATCCACAGTTCCCACAGTGAATGGGGATCCACTCAGCAGTAAGGCATAGTCTATATATTCGGCAAGGGACCAGTGGACTTTTCCCCCAGGAAGCTGGGAGGAAATGGGCTCATTAAGACTCACCCGAAAAATGTAAAAAAAAAAAAACCCAGTTAGAAAGTAAAAAAAAATACATAATCAACATAATCTTCTATGGCCCGTTTGCCTTGTCGAAGGCGCAAGAGACAAACTGCTGGGTTCATGTTAGGTCTAGCTTTCTGTAACAATTGTGTAACAAAAGTTGTGATGATGAACCCAAGTGTAGTTTATTTAAAGAAGGTGAAATCCGAACAATAAACAAACGAAGACTTGACTTGAAACAGACTTGACTTGAAACTAGTGACGGGCGCCTTCGAAACACTGCTTCACGAAGCTTCGAAACATTTGCAAATCTTTTGTTTCGAATCAGTGTTTCGGAGCGCGTATCAAACCGGCCAGGTCACGTGATTTTAGCAAATGAAGCTTCGTTACGTCACACTGTTTCAAAACGTTTCGAAACTCCGATGGTTCACCACTAGGGGGTGTTGATCTCAAAGTGAACCCATGAACCACTTCTGGGCTGTGTTCAGCCCCGACAAAAACGTTTTTTAAACGGAAACGGTGGTGCATTGAGAGTTGCATCTTGCCTGCTGGTTTTTATAGACAGCTCTAATGAAAACACTTATTTAATTAAATAATTACATAAATCAATTAATTAAATAATTAATTTACTTCATTGTGTCTTAAGGGTCTGCTGAAAAATGTAATCTAATCTAATTACAATAGGCTACTACTTAATTTTTGGACGTAATCCAGATTGCATGTAATAATCAGTTACTACGCAGCACTATTAATGCTGATTTAGTATATGGACAAGACATTTGTTATTTCAGTTATTTCAGCAATGAGTACGAGATTTTTTTTTTTGTGACACGTTGGGGGAGGGGCGTCATTTGTTGACGTCACGACGTCGCTTTCAGTCTATTGGCTGCTGTACTTCCTTGTTTACCGTCTTGTCCACGGCCAACAGAGCTGCGGAAATAATCATTATTGCAGTTAATGGCGCGATAAGCACATGCGATAGCAGCGATATAATACACACAGCTGTCAATCAAGGCGACATATTTGAAGCTGTCGTGTAGTGTGCTCGCTCTCCGCGCGGCTTTAGAGGATTAAAGAGCGATGATGGCGTCCAGCTATAACGCGAAGGATGAGGACGGTCATCATCCGGGATCGGTGGGCTCCGGCGGCCCGGGCGCCGTCAAGAGCAAGAAGCCCGATAACACGGCCTTTAAACAGCAACGTCTGCCCGCCTGGCAGCCCATTCTGACCGCGGGCACCGTCCTGCCCGCCTTCTTTATGATCGGACTCATCTTCATCCCCATCGGCATCGGACTCCTCGTCACCTCTAACAACATCAAAGAGTTTGAGGTGCGTACCGTCACCATAGCAACGTCTGCCCGCCTGGCAGCCCATTCTGACCGCGGGCACCGTCCTGCCCGCCTTCTTTATGATCGGACTCATCTTCATCCCCATCGGCATCGGACTCCTCGTCACCTCTAACAACATCAAAGAGTTTGAGGTGCGTACCGTCACCATAGCAACACCATACTGCGTTATTAGGGCTCTGTGGTCATGTACGGCGGATGACGGGTCGTTGTGTGGTACTGTAACTCGTGTCGGTTCTGTTGTAGATCGACTACACTGGTGTTGACATGTTCAGTCCGTGTTTCAACTGCTCGCAGAACTACAGCTGGAACAGCTCTAGTGCGTGTACCTGCTCTGTGCCCTTCACCCTAGACCAGCCTTTCGAGGTAAACTACCCTCTTCCTCATTTTCATCCACCTGCAACCACACTAGAAAGCCTTGAACACTTTCTGTAATTCTGCATAAATTTGGTTACTTGACGATCAGATGTCTTCTAACTAAATAAAGAACCCAATTTGACAAGTAACTTAAAGGTCATTAGAGTGAATGTCTGGTTTGACCAACCTGAGCAGCAATAACAGCAACCAAAACCCCATTTCTCCATTAAGAACTGAGTGGTGTTGGTGGTCTCGCTCAGATGAACTGTCTGTGATCTTTGTGTTCTTTAGCAGTAGTTCTAATGGTTTAGAGTCGGGACTTTGAATCGTTTCATTTCTGCTGCTTTCAGTGATGGCAAGCCGTCCTGTTTCATGAATACCAAGTCAGCCACAAACCATTACACTTCCTCCACTGTCAACTTTACAGTTTTGGATGAGGTTCCTATTTTTGTGTGCAATGTGTGTTTTTTTCCAGAATGTCTTGAAATGCATCATCTGAACATCTTGAGATGTGGTAACTGTAGTATAAGCAGAATAATTGACTCCAGTTTGTTGAATTATTAGAAAATAATGCACACCTGAGTAGGGGTGTGCGATATTGACAAAAAATGATATCTCGATATTTTATGGGATTTTATCGATAACGATAATTAGACGATATTTTGCTGAGTGTGTTATTGTGCTGGTACCTTAAGGACTGCCGAAGACAGCTGACTCCTAATGTTTTTAGAAATTAATCTTTTCCAATAAGTTTAAACTGATTTTTGCATTTTATGGGCATTTTAAGCTTTTTTCCCCCTAACTGAAATTATGCCTTTTAAATTCGAATATAATTCGAATTTTGATAATATTTAAGTAGAAAATTCGAATTTAGTTTCAGTCATTTTGACAGCCCTACACCCGAGGCACACTCTGCTTAGCGACGGGGCCGCATCAGCACCTCGGATGTGCATTATATTCTAATAATTCAATGGCCCGTCGTCAATTATTCCTTACTTAAAAGAACTGTTTTCTATGTGTATATACTGTATTTAAAAATGTAATTTATTTCTGTGATGCGCAGCTGGATTTTCAGCATCATTACTCCAGTCTTCAGTGTCACATGATCCTTCAGAAATCATTCTAATATGCTGATTTGCTGCTCAAGAAACATTTCTGATTATTATCAATGTTGAAAACAGTTGTGCTGCTGCTTTTTTTTTTTTTTTTTTTGGTGAAAACCTTGATACTTTTTCAGGATTCTTTGATGAATAGAACGTTTTTGTAATATTATAAATGTCTTTACTGTCACTTTTGATCAATTTAATGCATCCTTGCCTGTATATAAGTATTAATTTATTTTAAAAAAATCATACAAACCCCAAACTTTTGAACTGAAATATTTAATTTGGCATTAATGTAAATAGTCTGTTCATTGGTTTGTACTGTTGCTTGCTTTGGTATTGATTGTTCAGCCAAAATAACATAAAACATATATAAATATATCTTTCCAAAAAAGTTCCAGTCGTCAAAAACATGTGATACTTTTGAATTGTTGCACAATGGATTGTGAAAATTACACAGTAATTTATTTGATACCTCAAATCAAATTAAATATGGCATGCCGACAATTATGTGCCTAAACTTTCGAATATGAAAGTCCAAAAATCAAACTTGATTGAGGGGCATGAGCCAAAAGTAAATGTTGCATTATACCCAAACATATTATAATAAAATATATTAAATAAAAAATAATAAAAAATGTAAATATATTAATATAATAATATTTTTATATTGTTTATTTTTTTCAGTCAAATTCACTTCTCTCTCTCACACACACACACACACACACACACACACACGTATATAAATATAAATTAGAAATGTAGATATGCTTCAATGTTATGTTTAATTCCTATTTTTTCCCTCTTCCTCTTGTGATATGGCCTGAGGTCATCACAGGCCAACTTGGAGTCTGTTTTGGGCATTTCTTGTCTATACTGTTGAAACAGAGGCGGCTCTTTATAGTTGGATATATTTATCTGTAGGTCTATTAGGTTGCAATATTTACTTGGTCTGTGGACAGTTTATTGGTCAAATAAATCGTCTAATGTGGCATTAGCTCTCATGTATTATGCATTAGCATTTTAGAGGAGATTTTATTGATCATGCTTTTCAATTGGTTAAAATAGAATTGTTTCCCGCTCATACGTTAACAGGTTTCAGATCACTTATGTATAAACTGCCTGCGAATGTGCATCTATAAATAACAGAAATAGCCCCAGGACAAAAGATTTTGTGCCTTGTCACCTGATGATTTTTTCATATTTTCTACATATACAATATCTTTTCTATTTTTTACATCTTTTCTTTTGTAGAGTAATGTTTTTATGTACTATGGGCTCTCCAACTTCTATCAAAACCATAGACGTTATGTCAAATCAAGAGATGACAGTCAGCTGAATGGAGATAAAAGCTCTTTACTGGTGAGTAGTTTGAGGATCTTTATGATGACTGACTAAAACTCAAGTAAAATTTCCTGGCATTCAGTTTTTAAAAGTACTTTAATTTTGTTGTGTATAATGACATGGTGTTGCTGAACATTCTAAAAAAATTTTATGAAAGATCTGATATAGGGCTGGGCTATATGCTTATTTGCTTCATTAAACAGTTGTCATTTTTCTTGATGGCTTGATGCCAATCATGACAAGCATATAGCTAATAATTTGTAAAACTGTCATTGAATGAAAGCACAGGATGTCATATTGTTTTCAAGTGTTCAAGTCTTTGTTCTGCAGAACCCAAGTAAAGAGTGTGAACCCTATCGAACGAGTGATAAGAAGTCCATTGCTCCCTGTGGTGCCATTGCTAACAGTCTCTTCAATGGTAAGACGAATTCTAACGCTTGTTGCCAGGTTCACATGTAGAGCTTTCACACTGACATTAGCGGGGTCCCAAATGATGCACTATACACTCGGCCAGCTAGTGTAGAAATATCTTCACTTGTGGTGCATGTTTGGGAGAGAATCTCAATGCATAGCGGTTCAATGAATGGATGATCTTGCGACACAACCATTTACATAAGCGCTGCACTGTTTACAGCAGAGGAAAAGCGCCGCTGTACACAAACTGAGCCACACACAACAGTCTTTGTAACAAATATGTCTGCAGATTTCAACATAAATGAGGAGATACATCTTTTGTACAGCGCTTTTTTGTGCACACCTGAACGTGCTGTGAAGAGCTATTTGGAAGATATTTTGTGAAGAAAGACTCATATGTTTTTATAAAATTTGGTTTAAACCACTGAAGCCACATGGATCGCTTTTATGATGAATTTATGACCTTTTTGGAGCTTGAAGGTTTTGATTACCATAGACTACACGATTAATCACAATAAAACCGAACTCCATCTCTGCATCTGCTCTGAGTTTTGGTCATGTTAATGTGCATTTGGGCAACGCTTCATGCGGCAACTATCCTCCAATTTTTTATTGAGAAATCGCTTATAAACCAGCTGCTGTCAACAAAAGAGAAGTTTTAAAGGCTGCCTGCAGTTTTGTGTCAAAATAAAAGTTCAGTGTAAAGTTTGTAAATGAAGAAGTTAAGACAGCCATAAATATTAGTATTGTAATTTTACAGTTGTGATGTAAAATTATGATGATGATGATGATTATTATTATTATTTTCTTAAATATTTAAATATTAAAAATAGTATTAGTATTAAACAGTATTAAATATTTTTACAGTAGTTATAATAATAATAATGATTTAATACTAAAATATTACATATTTTAAAATATGTTTTACAGTAATAATAATAATATTATTATTATATAGCTTTATTAACATGTAACCACAAAATTTGAGCCAAATCGTGCAGCCCTAGAAGCACAGCAAATCTGGAATTTTAAATTGTTAAAGAGTTTTCATCTGAAAAATCGCCCTAACTTAGACTTTCAAAGGATGTAAATTCCTCAGGTTTTATTTAAAAGAAAAAAAAATTTAATTTGTTTTCCAAAGATAAACAAAAGTTCATTCAGAAGGTCATTTGTGGTGCTCATAGTAAAAGCCAATGGAATCTTCAGTTTGGCTTAATCTGTGAGTTTCCACCCACGGCGCCGTCATTGTGATTTTGCAAGCGACAACGGTGTACCATCTCTAATGGCATGGCGAAAGTTTGAGCAAAACATGCTAACTGTTCTGTCAGCTGTCTTTGGCTGCACAGACGAGCACAGAACACTGTTTAGAGTCCCAGCCTCAGAGGAGACAAGAAAGCAGTGGATTTATTGATTTATTTACTGTATATTGCTGCTGCCACACAGATCTAAAATAAACATGCGATTTATTTCCCAGCTGTTTACCTTCACAGACATAACCGACTGTTCTGTGGGGTATTTTGAGCTGAAACTTCACAGAAACATTCTGGGGACACCAGAGACTTATATTACATATTGTAAAAAGGGGCATAATATGTCTCCTTTAAAATAAATATCACTGCTTACACAAGCTGTGTGAAACAGACCTAAGGTCTAAGTCATTTGTTTCATAATTGTAGATACTTTGGAGCTGTTTTATATCCATCCAAACGGAAGCAGGATAGCTATTCATCTGATGAAGACGGGCATTGCTTGGTGGACTGACAAGCATGTGAAGTTCAGAAACCCAGGAGGAAACCACAACAACCTCTCCATTGTGTTCCAAGGTACATAAAGCTAAACCCTATATATCCTACTGGTCACAAATTTCAAAGGCCTCTAAATACTCAACATGATCAAAACTTTCCTGAAAAATCTACTTTTTGCTGTCAAATCTTTACTGGTTTTTATAAAGTACACATAAGAATAATTTTTATATTTCAAGATGAACACTTACTGGACTGAAGCAACTTGATTATCCAGAAATCATTTTTTAGAAACCTCATGTTCAAATGTGAGTCTCAAATCTGATCATCAGGCTTTTGAGGAATGTTTATTTGTTCAGCTCTCAATCACCATTATATTGCATTGCATTATGTTTTGATCATAAATCTAAGCATTTAAATATCATCTTACTCCCATATTATTGGAGATATAGAGTGATGACTGATATCTGCTATACTGTTATAAAGATCTCATTGATTAACATTACAAGCATCAGAATTTCAGCTTACTTTTTGGTCATATAAATATCACCAAATTGCACATTTTTGCTCCGTTTGAGCCTCTGAATAAAACTGAGGTGTTTATTCCTTCATATTCTTACTGTGTCTTACTATATTATGAGCCATAAAAGCCTGATGTGTCCAATATAATAGTCATTCAGTCTGTAATATTGCTAACCAGCGTTATTGGTCATCACAGAAACAAGTAAACCGGTAAACTGGCACAAACCCGTTTACGAGCTGGACCCGTCTGATCCAGAGAACAACGGGTTCATCAATGAGGATTTCATCGTGTGGATGAGAACCGCTGCTCTCCCCACCTTCAGAAAACTCTACCGCATCATTCAGAAGAAGAAGGTCAACATGACCCCGACACTACCGCCAGGAAACTACAGCCTGGAAGTGACCTACAGTATCCTTGAGAAATGCATTACCAAAATGAAGACTCTTAATTAAAATGCTCTGGTTTACTGTATTTGGAGTTATTGCACCTTTTAAAAAGTGCTTATTGTCAAATTAATAAATTATCAGATGTGAGTATGCTGTAAAGAAAATGTAAATAAAACTCCAAAAAATTATTATAGGGGTACATTTTACAAGAAAACACTATTTCAGTTTTTCAGCTTCAAAATTTAACCTTTAATTCAAAGTTTTACTTTGCAATTATCCATGAAGTTTACTAGCAATTTCTGAGTAAAAATAGTTTCAAAGTAAATCCTACACCATTTTTTTCCCCCCAGTGTAGCTGCTCGAAACAGGCTCTATGAGATTAACATATGCATCTAAACCACATCCATATCTATTTTATATCATGTTTATATCTTTCACGTTTATAACTTAAGCCAAGACACTACAGACAAAAACTTTTTCATGCACTGGGGATATTTTGGGGTTTTGGACTGTTTGGCTTTTCATAATGCCTTCTTTCAGACTAGTGGAAAGAAAACGTCCAAAATCACTCTTACGTGTTTGTTATTGCACTTTATCTATTTATGTCTGTAGATTACATATCTATAAAGTAGATATGTAACAAAAAAAAAAAACTTATCTATAAAGGCTTTCCAGTTTTATCCCTGTTTTTAGTCTAAATGTTTTTACACAGGGTCTGTTCATATATCACTTACATTTTATTCCTAAATACAGGGGGAAAATTGTTTTTTTTTCTGGCTGTTGACAGTATAATCTGATTTATAGAGTGATAAATAAGGAAATCCAAAATCCCCTCTGTAAAAACCTTTGACTACTATGTCAACAAAATCAAACAGTTTTGAGCCTGGCTTTATGGAAACATATGCAAATTAGTGCATATTTAATTAGACAATGCCTAATTTTCATATGTAAACAGTATTTCAAAGTTGCAACTCTTAATGTAAACATTCAACAGGGAAAGTATAGTGATATCTATTAGTTACATTTTGGTGTCTTGCCTTAAAGGGACATTTCACCCCGAAATGAAAATCGGACTTTTCCAGGTTTTAAGTGCTATAATCAGGTCCCTGGTGCATCTACCAACCAAGGAAACGTGTAAAAGATTAACCCAGTAACTTTGATTTGGGAAGCCTTTTTCTGCAAGCGTCTGAAAAAACGAGCGCGTCTGATTTCGCTCCCTTGGTGACGTGGCAAAGGGATCTCATTATAATATTACCGCCCCTTAATCTGTAAGTTTACACCCACAGCGCCGCTCATTTGCATTTAAAGAGACGGGCACGAAAAACAGCGTGTTTCTGCTTCCACTCAAAATAGGCATTTTCAAAATGATATAATGATCTGTGGAGTATTTTGAGCTGAAACTTCACAGACACATTCTGGGGACACCAGAGACTTATATTACATATTGTAAAAAGGGGCATAATATGTCTCCTTTAATGAAATAAATGGAAAAATACAACAGCTGTTAAAATATGTTTGAAAGGGAACAAATGTATGTTGAAATAATTCGAAGAGATTCTTTAATAATGTGAACCCAGATTACCCAGTGCGCAGCTTTGATGGCCGCAAGCGCATGATCCTCAGCACGATTTCCTGGATGGGAGGGAAGAACCCTTTCCTGGGCATTGCCTACATCACAGTGGGCTCCGTGTGTTTCTTCCTGGGAGTGGTGCTACTGATCATCCACCATAAATATGGCAACCGCAACAACAATGCTGACATTCCTAATTAACTGCATAATTATCAGCACACCGCAGTCTGTACACTGACTCGAGATTAAAGTCTGGTCTATCTGTCATATATCTCATGCTGCTGTACACACACAGGTGCCCAGAGGGACTACTTGCACACTTATTGTGTATGCACTGGAAGTTTTCAATGAGCTGTTTCAAGCGTTTATTTCATCCACACCAAAGCTTTATATTTTATGATCTTTCTACATGAAGTATTTTAGAGTAACTGGTTCATGTGTAGTCATATAGTATGACTGTATTTAAACGAATCCTACCACAAAAACATGTCCAGGCCATATTTGACCCCAAAATAATAATAATGATGTTTTATATATTGCGTATGTATATTTGATTTTGAGGTTAAATATGTTTTTGACAGGCTTTGTGAGATTCACCCTTTTGGGGATTATTGCTAATGGTATGGTACGATCACAACAGTCGTGGATTTTTAATCAGTGATTTATATATATGAGAATGCATTATTTCTGATAGTTTGACTCATGCATATCAGCAAGGACTGTGTTACTGTATTTTTTGAAATGCTAAACTGTGAGCATCTAGATATGCTTAAAGCTAATGTTCATTTACTATTATTATTTTAGTTACTTCTTTGAAAAACTTGTTCTGTGCAATGTGTATTTAAAACTTGCAACTGCTAAGAGATCCTTTATGCAGCTCATGTCTGTTATTGAGCTAAAGTCATGTCATGTACTCAAGAGTTGTGTGATAATAAACAACAAACGCATGAGTGCTGTGGTGCTTTTAGGACTTACACCTGCCTCGGGACTGCAGGTCAAGTACAAACGTCTGGTGTCTGGCCTGTAGTTCACTGCAGGAAAAAAAATAAAATATAAGAGCACAATATAACAGCCTCCCTCAATTTATCGCCAGACTGCTGTAAGCAGAATGTGCCTGTAGCTCGCTGCAGGAAATTTGGTCTTTTTCCTGGAAAAGTCTTGATTTGCCACTGAAATGTAATTTACACAACTGCTGCTACTATTTTTACTATTTTTTTTAGATCGCCAATACCTTCTCCTACTGTTGTACCACACAAAAACTGTGGACAAGGCAGATGTTGGGAATTTATTTTATATATCTTTTAAAGATTTAAATTAGTGTAAAGACTCAGTGTTTTTTTTGGTTACACTTTATTTCGATAGTCCACTTTAGACATTCTACTAACTATAAGTAACTTTGTAACTACATGTCAACTAATTCTCATTAATTTGCAACTACATGTCTACTAACTCTCAGAGTAGACTGTTAGGGTAGGTTTAGGGTTAGTAGAATAAGTTGACAAAGAAAGTGTTGGAAGATATTAAGCAGACAGTTTACTAATACTCTACTAACTGCTAGTTTACATGTAGTTGCAAAGTTACTTGCTGTTAATAGAATGTCTAAAGTGGACTATCGAAATAAAGTGTTACCTTTTTTTTTTTTTTTATTACACCTGGAAGAGCCTAGTAATGTCATTTTAATTAAATTTTTTTTTTTTTGTGATTTTATAATTTAGTCGAACACAAAGCGTTTGTAAATTTAAGAAAGAAATTTGGTTTTAGGTGTAACCTCCTCAAGTTCTTGAACCTTTCTCTTATGAGTCGTAAACTAAAACATGCTTATCAATAATAGTATTTAACTAAACGCCTTGTGCGCCAGTTTAAAAAAGTTGCACAAAAATATCCATGACATAAATAAATAAATAAAAATAAAAAAGTAATAAAAAGGTTCTATAATAATATTTTTTTCATCTTTCACTGACATTGATCATTTTACCAACATCAGTCCTGATCATAACAACAAAAAATCATTTATTTTCAGGATTTTAACACTTTGCCAGGTTGTTTACGTAATGTGACAGTTTTTTTTTTTTTTTTTGTATAGAAAAAAAGTTATTTTCCATATACTAAATGCTAAGCAGATTTTTGGGGGATTATTACACTCATGTATATGCCAATTATTAGCAATATGTTTGTATTAAGAAATCTGTGCGTGTGTGAGTATGTTATTCTTATTATTTTTTATTTAGTCATTTAGCAGACGCTTTTATCCAAAGCGACTTACAAATGAGGAAAAACTAAGTGCAGTAGCTAAATAAATAAATATACATACTCACACACGCACAGCTTTCATATTTTACACCTTTCTGGAGTTTTATTTTAGGTTTTGATGTCCTTAAGAATATATATTTGCGGTATAAGTACCAAAAGCCATCTCAATATATTTTTACAGCTCCTCTCTCAGGAGCTCTGCTGAGAACAGGTCGATTTTGGCCTGTCTAATTAATATTCATGAGCCTCTCTTCTGACTGGCCTGTTGTTTTCTGAGTGACGCACGGCCAGGCCAACCACAGCTAACTAGGGTCAGCCGATGTCACAGCACTAGCTGGAGGCAGCAAAACAAAGGGGAAACTGGAGGCGGCCCATTCAAACCAGCGCAGATTCGGCTACATAAGGAGCTTAAAATATCATCTTGTGGTTTGGCAAAAGGAGAGTGGGACTGTGGGCGTTGCTCGGGATGGTGACTAAAGGCGGTGACTTGAGTAGGGGAAGTCACAACGGTTCGTGAAAAATCACAGCTACTTTATGCAGGCTGTGTGCATTTGACTGTGGATTGACTGTTTTGAAACTTATATGGTAGTTACATAGCACCTAGACCCCAGTTATCATGAAAAAAGCCAAGAAATTTCAGTTTTAACAATATGGGACCTTTAATACAAAGAATACATTCTTAATACAAACCACACTCTGATATTCATACCAATACCCACACACTTATAATTACATAATTTCAATTCATTGGGAGATATATACAGTTGAACGCGAATCTTTTTTCGAGTCATTTAAATGAACGCGAATCTGTCCGAACGAACCGATTCTCTAAAGAACCGGACCTCTCAAACGCTTCTGTCCAGTAGGCGGCAGCAATGCGCCTCTCGCTGCAGAGCCGAGCAGAAGAAGGAAGTGACATTTTCGAGTGTCCTTGTGCTGGTGCGGCTTCCTGAACACTGCGGGCTAAAGGAGAAATTATCACCATGTTTAGGCACTTAAGGGTGAGATTTAAGCGTTTTATGCGTGTCCTCATTGCATTTATGTGAAGAAAGCGATTGATTGTCTTTTCAGAACACAGCTTGATTAGATTTGAGCGGAATTAGCAGCGCCGTTAGCCTAGCAACAGCTCTCATGACCTCCTGCTCATGACAGGAATATCGAGTATTTTATTTTTTATA